ACACTTTGCAAATCGTTAGCTTTGTTGCTAGATTAGCCTCGTGCAGGATTTGTTATCGCAAGCGAGGCCCGAATTAACGTCCGCTAGCTCGTGCAGTTGGTGCTGAATGGCCAATGTTTTTAAATAATAAAACAGCACAGTTACCAATGGCAGCTACTCATCTGCATGCAGTTAACAATTGTACTTACAAATTACATTAAATGTTCACGATAAGTAACGTCGTAAGATTTAAACACCAACAGCTTACCGTTGTGTCCTGCGTGCGCCGGTGTCGATGTAGACGTAGATCGCGCATGCGCGGGCTGGTGAAACCTATCAGTGATCCAGTGATAAATCTGTATTTACCTTCTTTCATATACACATCTCTGGTATCATACATTTATATATCTATGGTATTAACTTGTACTAGTTCTTGTCCACTAAATCTTTCTGTCCCTTGTGTGCCCGTGCCCCCAGATGAGTACAAACGATAGGGAAGATTTTAAATCATTATTTAGTGAAAAGACTGTCACATTTCACTATTCTTTACTTTTATTCCAGTATGTGAGTAGTCAGTCCTTGTTTTTTTTCCTCTTTCCACATGACATTGCCGGACAGGTCATAGCTAGAAGTAAATAACTGTAATAATAATTAAGAAAGGGGATTGTACCCGTCTGACTCTTATTCTGTATATCGCTTTACATGCTGACTGTAATAAGTTCTTTATTTCAGGTTGCCTTTTTTAATAACACATGAACATTAGCCTGGCTCATTTAGGTACTTTGCTGTTAATTAACGACCACTGTTTCTGTCAAATAAACAAATAAATGAAATGAATCAACAAAGATTTGCTTTCAAACTGTGAACTTTGTTTCATGTGACAGTAAATCTGAATGGAGCACAAATCAGATAAATATAGCATACATATCTTATAGGGTGTCCACTAATTGCACCCTAAATAACGTCATTTATAGATGATGCATTAATAAGCAAAAACAGTTCAGTTCTGTTTAATTTGGTAAATGGCCGCAACAACTGGAATATCATGTCAAATCTTCATTATGTATGACCATAACCAGTGTCAAAAACTTTCACAATATTTCCATACTATGGAAATATTCTTTCAAAATATACAATATTTATAAGAAATAAATACATCACATTTACAGTCATCACAACAGAGCATTTTGACTGGTTTGGAGAACAACAGTATTTTTCGTATAGTACAGGGGGCATCCAGTATGTACATATACAGCATTAACTCTTAACAGTATACACACAAAATAGCAGGTAATTTTGACAGTAGAAGCGTAAGGGAAATAATGCATGTCTGTGTTTTCACACAGTGGATCTAATAAAAACCTTGAGTGTGTTGGTCGAGGAAGTTTTTATTTTTCTTTTAATTTGCGTTCCACCTCTGAGAAAACCTTTGCATTGATTTCATCCACTTCATCTTCCACCTGGGCAAAAAAAGACAATTCACAAAATGTGAAATATGACAGAAAAGTCAGTAGAGACTATTATTGTACCATCATTCCGATCGTGTCAAAAAAACTCAACTCAGTATAGTAGCAAGTAAGTAAAATGGATATCAAAATAGGATCATCTTTTCTTTGTTTTCATCATTTTATTCTAAATCTACTTGTTGGAAAACTGCACCCACAGATTGAAAAAAATACTGTCTGGTTTTCTTCTCATACTAAAAGGGCTCAAAAATCTAAGGTGAAATGAGATCACAGCGGAATGTCCTGCTTATGATAATCTAAATATCCATACAGCAACTTCTGAAACCAATCCCAGAATGAAAGAAAAAATCTTGATAATCACCTGTTCCACATTGTCAACTTCAGGGATATAGAACTGCATCATGTTCTGAATGCCGTTTTTCAGGGTAACTGTGGAGCTGGGACACCCTGTGCAGGAACCAACCAGCTTCAGTTTGACTGTGCCATCCTCAAACCCCTTAAAGATGACATCGCCTCCGTCCTCCTGCACTGTAGGCCTTGTGAGTGAACGGGACCATATCAGTTCAAAGCAGCACAAAGGACAGACAGATCAAGACTGTTATCACAGCACAACTGTCTTTTCTGTGAGCGCCACTGTTATGAGGGCTAAGTAAAGAAATATCATAAAGAAATATTTGATCAGGATTGAAATAATATTTGAAATACATAAACTATTAAACAGTAAGCTATATCCCAATTGCAATAGACAGACAAAGACTAAATTTATTACATAAATTGCTATCTAAGTTACTAGTTTCTACCTGATTCTGGTGTCCAGAAGCTCCTTTATCATCGATACAATATCATCATCATCTTCAGAATGACCTACAATAAAGACAATTTCGATAATTTTATAATATGCAGTCAAGCAGCTGCATAACTCCAAGGTGTCTAACATGGACAGGTTGCATCCTCACTGCTTTCATTGTATACTGCTCCAGTTGTTATCGGGTCACCACTCTCAAAGAAGTTAGCAATAGCCTCCAAAGCATGACGCTTAATGTCAGTCCATTCCACATCCTCGTCTGTCTGCCAGGAAAACAAAGATAACATGTGCTGTTTCACCACAAAGATTTCATAGGAACAGAATCACAGATGGAGACAATCTTTACTTACTTTAGTGACTGTGATGAAGTCAGGGCCAAAGAACACACTTTTTACTCCTTCGATTTCAAACAGGTCCCTGAAATAAACATGTTATCATGTTATTGTTCAACAAAAGGTGAAAAACATGAAATTTGTGTTCTTGTTAGTTCATTTATTGATAACAGCATACACTTTGTGCTAGCCTTTATCAAGAGTGTCACTGATGATTGTACTGCTTTTTGACACTGCTGTCATTTTAGTCAAGACAAAATGTATCAGCAAACAAAATATCATATCTAGAAAATATATTCTGTCTGCCTATAATATATAAGTATGCCTTTTTTCTGTCTTGACATCTTTTTTGACCTGCCTTCTAAGGGGAAACATGGTGGAACGCTTCCCTTTACGGTTTCTATTTTATAAAATTAGAAACAGTACAATGTAAACACAACAAAGTACAACAGTAAACTGGACACACAACCTGGCTAAAGATGAGCATCCGGCTGAGCTCGGAGAGGGAAAGTCAAGCGTCCCACTTCCTAGGACAGGTTTACCAGGGAGAAACTTCAAGCTGCTGGGGTTTGGAGTGTCTTGAGTCTGGATGGACAGGTGTCTTACTGGAAGATATTATAAAAATAATTTCTTAGTAAAGGCTCTTAGTTTATGGGGTTTGTTTTCTTGTCAACATGGCAGTGATGATGATTACAACAAGATGACAAAAAGAGTGAATGTATAAAGTTGTCCAAACAATGGTTTCTCACTTGAGAAGCGTGTGGTTCTTGTCCCAAGCTGAGGCTGATCTTTCCTAAAGCTCTGGGTCATGCACTGTGAGTGGTATGAGCTTCTGGTCTTGTCTGGAAACCTTACAAAGTCAATAATATTAGACAATGTCTGTCAATCAACATAGGACGTAGATTCATTCATTTCCTGAGGCAAGATTAAACAGTAAGGTGGAGTTGACGATTGAAAGCAGCGTCAGAAAATGTTTACCAATACCATAGCTGTTAGCTCAGGGTTTTGATGTACAACCCTACAAACTTGTGACGTTATCCAGAGGCTGTTTTAGTGTTTTGACAAACTTTACAGTTCGAGCTAGCTAAGGTTAGCGGCTAAGTAACATGACTGGGATCGGGAAAGACACACATGTGAGATCAAAAACGATTACACGTGGATATATTTAACTAACTGTTTCGATATCTCCACCGTAGTTATGGATGGATTGGATTAGAGTGACAATCCGTTGTCTAGTGTCGCAGTTTGCTAGTCAGCTAATTAGCTAGCTAAAATTAAAATCTCAAACACACGTCGGAATTGCAAATTTATGCTTTACACAAGCATCACAAGTTGACATAACAGCAGTACAACATGTACAAAACGATATGTTATAGCTGTAGAGGTTCAAACCTAAAGTGAGTCGTATTTCTTGCCCGTAACAAATGGCGAAGTCCCCATCTCATGTGCGCCGCCATTTTGTTTGTTTTGAAAATGAGGACCTCATGTGGTAGACAGCGCAAAGTCCTGAACAGGTATTTATTAGATATCTGTTTCTGATATTTACTTTTCTTTTGTTAATTTACTCATTGAAACAGCCCAATAACAATTTATTGGGCTGTGAAAAAAATAAGTAAAACGATAATAAAAAGTTATACATATTAATATGTTTATAGAGAATAGTTAATTATCATAAAGAGTTAAATTGTATTATAGAGTGCCTTAAGGACACCAACCAATAGCTGTTTTCCTAAATAATATATTTATACTTACTAAAAAATGTAAGCCATGAGACCAGGTTGTTTGTCTCAACACACTACAGCATGGGTCGTGGCTGTAGTCAGGTTATTTACTTTAGCAGTATGCATAGAGGTAGCCTACTTAAATCTTATTACCGCAAGTGAGTCCAGCATTTTAAATTTTACTGCATGATATACTCCAAAAAACGTAATATTAAGTAGCTAGTAATTATTGCTGTCGAAAAAAATGTAGTGGAGTAAAACAAAATACTATCTTCCATTAAAATGTAGTGAGGTAGGAATATAAAGTCGCATAAAATGGAAATATTCAAGTAAGGTACCTCAAAACTGTACTGGATGGCAGGAAAAACAAAGGATGTCACTGCCACATCAAACAGAAAACATTCCTTACGTTACAGTCATAAAGAAATACGGTTTTGTTTTCTGTATAACTCTCAAATTCAATGTACACATACACATGCATCTATCTGGAAGAGTTCATAATTCAAATCCAGAGTCACCTGGTAATCTATGTCGAACTCTGCAGTAGCTGCTAAGATGGAACATGAATGTGAGTCTGTTTGGAATAAAACAAACAAAGTGACAGCATCTTGAAGGCCAACCCCATATTTCCCAACATTTGTTCTGACAGGACAAGGTGGTGCTCCAAAGGAGTGGCTGAGAAAGAAAGACTCTCATAAAAGCAGGGCCATACCTTCGTTGGTGGAAGATTATAGTTAGCTACAGCAGTGCAACTGTCTGCTTGAAGAACTTGAACTATATGTATGTTATATAGGCTTAGGACTTTATCATTTGTTCTAGTATACTAATCTCGTTATGTTGGTAACGGGCTGACTACATAAGGAATTTCTAAAACCCCTGCAGAGGTCTACTGCTGAGTGTTTTCAACGCATCTGGATTTCAGGAATCCCTGTTTTAATTTGTTACCTATCTTCTTAACCACCAAGACATGGTGCTTTGGATTATCTTCCCAATTTCCCTTGCCCTGGTGTCTTTCATTGGAACATGGACTGTGTAAGTTTACCAGAAATTCACATTATCTCATTTATCTTTAGACCCTTGTGAAACTACTAAAACATTTGTTTTTACAAGTACAACTTTTTATTCTGAATCTCTCTGTGTGCTGACCTGCAAATGTCAAGTTTCCATTAGCTTTAGACCTTGTGAACATTCTTAAAGAGCTAGTAAATACACTTATTAATCAGTATTATTTACATCTGAAAGCGTGTAAGTTTAAAGCTGATCATGACGCTGTAATTGTTCTATGAAAGGTTATATGATAATGTAACAACAATGAAGCTCCTTAAGTACTTCATGATTATCAAGAGTGGTATTTGATCTGTACATTTGTGCCTTAGTGCTGATACCACTTGGCCTTGAACACAAAGTGATGAGATGGCACCACAATATGTTTTGGCAGACTGCTTTTATTATAATATTTTAGCTCTATATATGTGTTATCTGTGAAAAGTGTGTAGGTAAAAGTCCAACTCAGTGTGAGAAAACTTATACAATTACATAATAAACACTTGCAAACTGCATACAGCAGCGTTAAAATATGTGATCCAGCAAGTTTTTTGCTGCAAGGTGTGCCCACCAGACTGGCAAGAGGCAATGCCTATTAGTGAATAGTGATCTTAGTTCCTCATTCTGCTGTCATCCATTTCATTTAGTGTTTGACTGAATGTCTTGATAAAGTTAATATTAAAAAAAATAAACAAGTAAAATGAAAAAATTTAATAGGTGTTCATTCTTTTCAATATCTTTAATATTTGTGGTGGTTTATTGATGAATCAGCATGAGAATAAAATCACTGGAGCTTAGTGGGCATCCTCTCTTCCTCAGTTTATAAATAATAGATAATAAACTTTATTTAAACAGTGCTTTTCAAACACAAAGTGCTTTATTTGATCTAGGATAAAACATTCCAAGACTGAGGGAACATAAAATTAGGAAATTAAAATGGTACAGAAGTAAAACAAAATATTGAGGCCATCAGTTTTGTAGTTAAAAAAATATACTGTATATCCCAGAAATCCTAACAAATTTATTCAGTCACCAGGAATGTTCTGTTCATGACTGACGTTTATTCTGAAAAAGTGGTTATAGATCATGCTTTTTTATATCAACATATCAATAATAGAAAAACTACCGTACAATAGTTTGAATGTTAATGAGCCCAAATATTAAAATTGTGTGACTGTAGAATGTCTTTTGTTTCATGTTTCCAGATATGGCCTGGCCTTCTACAACAACCATGTGTGCTCTCTCAGTGACTGGTGAGTTGTGTCTCTATTATTGTAGATTGCTGATCACCAGCATTTGAATGTGACAGATTCTTCAGAACCTCATTATTTTGTTTTCAGGGGAGGCGACACCTACTGCAGAGAGAATCAGTCCACTGCATGCTGCCTTGTTCCCACTATAAGGTGAGAATGCAGCTCACTTTAAGTCACCATTCGCTTCTCCTTTCCAGTGGAGTAGTGAGACATAATTAATTTAACATATTATGTGATTCCAGCTCAAGTGGAACCAGTGCACCCGAAAACTGCCTTTTTACAGCCGTAATCAACGCTGGATCCTTTCTGTGTGAGTATACCCTCCAAAGGCCTAAAACGTGATATGAATGATATGTGTTATACCAACTGTGTTCCCCTTTTTTTTAGTTCTGGTGTTCTGCATATTCCACCATGCCCATATTATGGAGAAACACTCATGTCATTCCATGCAAAGCAAGTTTGCACTGGTCTTTGGTGTTGTGGCAGCCATGGGGGCATTCGCAGCAGGGAACTGCAATGTAAGTACTGCACTACCTGCTGAACTTGTTCAAGTTTACCGTGAAGTTATGCATTATTACACCAGAATCCACAGTGTCAAGGGACACAAACACAACAGTAAGATGACAGGACTTCGTCATATAACAGTAACAATAAAGCTGAGCACCTTCGATTTGCACCTGTGCTGAAACAGCAAACAAGGGTGGGTAACTATTTGTTTTATGTCTGTAATAATCTGTAATGATTTAGAGCACATGCAAAGTTGGCAAGGCTAGTACACCTCCTCCGCAGTTTTTAACATAGGATGGTTTGATTTAAAGTTAATTGTAGCATTTTATTTAACCCAATATCATCATCAGCACTACATAATAATATTAAGATTTTCCATTTTGTACTACACATACCAGTTAAGCAGCTGTTTCCTACATGATAAACCAAATGAGACTAATATTACTAGACCATAAAACAGGAGTGAATGGGAACCACTTACTATTAAAAAGAGTTTTAAAGAGAAATTAAAATGCACCAAATACAAAGTTTGTTTGTTTTTTTAATACACCCAGACGCTTAGAAAGGCTCTCTAATTGCAAGTGCCGATTTGTCAGGTGACAGTTATTGTGTTTCACTCCAACTACAGGAGGTGGTTGCTGTTTCGATCAGTTAATAGTTGATTAGTAAAAGAATTTAGTATTGACATCTATCAATGTTGAATAATCTCTGCACTGATTTCAACTATGTATTCATCTGTTCATCCCTACAAATTGCTTACTGTCCTCCACAGCCAGGTGACCTGACACTCCTTCACTACCTCGGGGCTGCCATCAGTTTCATGTGCATCTGCTTTTACACTGTCCTGCTCACTGCACTCACCAGTAAGTGTGTGCTGACAGGATATGAGAAGGTCCTCTACCCAGTACGCATCGTCCTCACAGTGATTCAAGCCATTGTCACCATCTGCTGTATCCTTTCATAAATCACAACAGGTAAATGAACTGTATTTTTGTGTAGTAATTATTCCACAAAACTCCTTTATTTGGGGGCATTTTTGCACAAGTTATAATGACAGGCAGGCAGTGAGTTGTGGCTTGGATCAGTACATTTCAGCAATTGACTTCAGCAGTGAATTGCCTTGTCCAGCTGTTTCACAACACTATAGTCTCTATATGCGATATTTGGATCCGGTCTGCTGCTCTGTTTGCAAAGTAGGACTGGCCATAGCAGTCCACATGACAGAAGTAGATTCGAAAAATGTCATTTGATCAATATTTAACCAGTATTTGTTTCCTCATAACACTCCCAGCCGGACAGTGACACAACAGGAGGCCTCTGCTGGAACAGTTTAGGATTTCATGTTAAGCTCAAAGGCACTTTTGACACAAGTTTGTGATACACACCTTTAAGTTTAGGGATTGAACCTCTGTTTGAAGTGGCACATGTCAAAATTGATTACAGTTTTTATATACAGACTAGCCTATGTGTGCAAGAGCATGAGGTACTGTATTACAGGAAGACAAGAGCTTTCACCCTGTAGAACGTTCACAGTCATTCAGGTCATGGTATATCTAGAAGTGCTAAGTCAAAGGCAGCCAGACTCTCATTAAATTCACTTAGCACTTCTAGAAACACGCTGAAAGTGTATTTTGTGCTTTGATACATTTCTATTGTCTGTATTACTGTCATCAAGGGTTTAGGCTGTACACCAATGCCGTCAGTGTGTCTTGATGTGATCTCCAATCCATTCAGGAGCAATATACAATGAAACGTTCCTATAAGTGATCAATGACACATCTGGCTGCTTTTGGCTGTTCCATACATCCTTAACTTGAAACCCTTCAGACACCGCTTTGTTTGCCCAGGACGAGTACTTTTACGTTCATGTGTCAGCTATATTTGAGTGGATGCTCAGCGTCAACCTGGAGCTCTTTGAGCTCAGCTATACCGTGGAGTTTTGCTTCTTCTCGTCCTACATGCTTTCAAATCTATTGAGCAAACGAGAGGAAGAAAAGCCTTTGATGATAAGTATGTCCTGATATGAGGCTGCCAGGGTCCGGCTGAAGCACATGAGCAGGGAGAAGGGACTGAGTGAGACATCTATAAAGACAGTGGCTGGACCGTGGCTAGAGGACGAATAATGGTTTTTCTTCATTTTGCTGGGATGGATTTATATTCATTTATGGATTATGACCACTTTTATTCCACACTCTTGATGCTGTTAAAATTGTATGATTTTCATTTCTGGGCATTTCTGTTCCTTAGATAAAACATTATTTATTTATTGAAACAAACCAGCTTGTACAGCAAATGAACAAAACCTATCAGTCGTATTATACTTTTGTGGAAGACATGGTGATACTCTGCCAATAGAACAAATAACCTGAGGTGTCTCTACTACACAAATTATTTATGTTAATACTTTTTTTGTGCAATGACATAATTGATATAATTTTTGTGCTAACATAATCAACAATGAACTAAAATATCCTCTCACTGAAACTCTCACTGATGCTGGCTTAACATTAGGATTCTTCAGTGGTTCTAAGCACTTGCATAGGTTTGGCACTTTAATAAATTCCTGATCACTGTACGCACTGAGGAGTCCTATTATTCTGCTGATATACAGATTTGACTTTGACAAGAGTAGAGGACGTTACAATACACCCATTCTGACATTTTAGGTCTCTGTGACGTCTCAAGATCCTGTTTGACTGGATGATTAACTGAGTGGCATTCAGAGATATTCATTTTTAGACTATTCATCTTCAAGGATGTCAACGCCTCAACGGTTACAGATCTATAGCCTAAGTGCAGTGTTTGTTACGTACAACACAGTGGGTGTTGTCATTATCCTTTGCACTACAACGTTTTAAGGTGTGTTTATGTATCTCAGTGAATGTGTATATCAGAGCGATGATTTCTGAATGTAATTAGGCCTAACAGTTTCTCAAGTGATGGTTAAAGAACCAAAATCAGAACTGGTCTGGTTATTTCACTTGAGAGATTTCTTTTATTTGTGGTCTTGTCCTTCGTTGCCCTCATGTATGTGGGCAGATCTTAGTTGTGAAAAGGTGATGTCCCATAGGTCCGAGCACAGTAGGCTATATCATGTGACCGCCTTCATATGTTTAGATGATGGTAGATTTTTTTGTCAATATTTATGTTTTTTTAGCAGCCTTTAAGTCACATCTTGACAGAAGATGCAAGTCCCCTGTAGCCTGCTCACAAAGTAATTGTGGAACCATTGGGTCCCTTGAAAGGTGCTATAAAGACATAATTAAATTTACAAAGGTTTCAGTTTTTTATAGCAACTGCAGTAGTGGATGTCAATTTATCCTAGAAATATGTAAAGTAAACCCCAGGCTTCGTTTTTTCTGAAAGGTCGATTGAAAAAAATGCTAGATGAGAGACTGCATTGAGTTTCAGAAGCTAGTGAACTGGTGTTCTGACGATATGCTGCCCTATCGAAAAATGCTACCTTATGTGTTCCCTTTTCCAATCCCATAAAGTTATAACTCTCACAGTATTATGACATCTCCTGTTTGTTTTTTTTATTAACATCATTTCAGGGATAGCGTATTCTGACTAATATCCCCTACCAAATAATGCTCCCGCTACAAAATCATTTAATATTGCACCACTCATCACTCCACTTGTACTGTGAGATGGGGAGCATGTTGAAATACTATACTAAACCATCTTTATGTATATATATATCAAGGGTAGCGTATTCTAATGATGTTTTGTTTTGATATTGCTGACGATCAGCCACTGTCTCGACGGCGTGCCCAACAGCAAGGTTGCACAGATTTATGGGCGTGGCTCTCTCTCAGAGTTCAGCAGCATTTGAACCGCCAGAGTCTTGAAGAAGCAGATTAGCTTTGTTTTTGAATTCTTAAACCTTGTTGGGCTGCACAATTAATCTAATCGCAATCGCGATGTCGTCATGTACGATTGCATAACCGCAAAAAGTGTGCGATTTAATATAACAGAAAAAGTGTGTGTGACCCTCTCTTCTCTGTGTGTGCTGCAGACTGCTCACTATCTCCGCCCACACCGGCCTCTCGCACATGCCCCTAAAAAGAAATAAGCCTATATGCAATGAGAAAAAATGTTTTATGACCAGTGTGCAAGTAACTTTTAAGACAAGACAACAACCAACCCTGACCCCGCCCCGCCGCTAATTGTTCAAAACATAGTGGGACGCGCTACCGGAGCACCCGGGCTGCATCCGAAAAGTCAAAAAAATATCCTTTTTTAACCACCTTTCCTTGACCTCGATGGAAAACGTCATGAGGTCAAGGAAAGATGTGAAGGAGAATTCAAAAGGACTTAGGAAAAGAGGACGGCGGGTCTAAGGCCCAATCCCAATGTCCACCCTCACAGACTTTGAGGCGCGTTCTCGGTAAGTCCGTGAGGGTTTAGGGCCGTCCCACTGTCAAATCGTCAAGTGCGCGAGGGCTCTCTTGCGGACATTTTGAGCCCTTTTTAGACCCTTTTCGTAAGTCCGCATTTCTGCAGACTTTGGCTGAGGGAAATGCCCACAGTTCATAGCGGTATGACGTGAAACACGGGGGTTGCCAGGGTTACCGGGGGAAGCGAGGGAAAAATCACTGCAAATCCGCCTAAATAGGAGAAGAAGAAGAAAACGGTAAACAAACAGGCATTGACACCAACGCTGATGTTAACATTGTTAGAATTTTTCTTAACTTAAGATGGTGCATAGAACACATGAAGTCAGAGGAATACACCTTATTAGCCTACACACTTTGTTTATTCAACTATTTATTTTAGTTTTTGCTTAATGATGCTGTTTTGACCAACAATAGGCTAGGCCTATTGGTTATTGCCAAATATATTGACATTTAACTCTCCTCCACTCTGTAGAGCAAGAACCTGCAGGACTTAAAAATCAGGCAAAAGCATAAAATTAAAAGTGTGCAACGTGTTTCAGCGTTGTCAAGGTAACGTGATAAAGTGGTAAAGGGCTGTCCCGTTCCTGTTTACAGCATTTTGAGCCCTTGTAGTCTCTTGCACTCAATCACTTTCCAAGTGAAGTCAGTAAAGTCTGTGAGGGTTCAGGGCTTATGGCTTAGGGGGGACATGAGGATTGGGCCTAAGAGAATCCGACTGCTCTTTTCAAAGCGACGTAATTATGCGGCGGCGGATTTTACTAACGTGATGAAACTACACTGTTCTGAAGATGGACTACAAAAAGCGCATCTTTGACATTGCGCCCCCTGTTGTTATAATGCAGGCCATCTAAGAAGGTGGACAACACGGTGGAATATATTACTTCACAACCAAGATACAAGAAAGGCAGATAAGGTAGCCTACCAGCCACTAAATAATGGACAGGGTTGTCACACTGAGAATGCTTGCTCACACTCACCCTCCTGCCCACCTATAGGCATATTTATCAACATGAATCCCAATTGTATGTAAATACAGTGTTTCCCACAGAATGACAGCGTAACTGTGCTGAGAGAGAGAAAGGGTGCGACGGGGTGAGAGGAGATGCTGAGAGAATAAATGCTGTGCAGCGCTCTGTCATCAAATACGATTTTACCCTTTTTAAATAGTAACTAAATCAACGTTGATAATGTGGCCGCCACAAATAAATTAGTGTGGGAAACGCCTACTGTAGAGGTTATCCAGCTTGATCTGTGCCTTTATTAAGGCGAGGATGTCAGCATCTGTGACTGAAGTAAAATTAATTTGCTGAAGGCTGCAGTACATTAGGGTACGTGAGGCTACACGCTGCAACATTATCCTCACTTTGATCACTTTACAAGACAGCTTGCTTTAAATGTTGCCGCCGCAAGGAATTGTGGGACGGCATTCTCTCCTTTCCTTTCATAAAGGATGGTCCGGTGTACCCTATGCTAAAGGAGATATGAAAGGAAGCATTGAGGCTCCTTTCCTCAGCTTTCAGAGAATTCGAACAGCTCTTATCATGGCTGCCACTGAAATACTTCCGGGTCACTTCACTCAGTTAGGAACCTTCCTGAGCAAAAAAGACTTCTCTAACGCAGCCCCCGTCTCTCTGTGACAGAGACAGAGAGACGTTGGCAGTTGAAGCAGTCAAAATAAAACTGTGAGAAGATAGTGAAGGTTTGAGTTTGGCTCGCTGGCCATTAACGTTCGCTGTATCGGTGAATTTAGTTGTTCAACATGTTTTTCACAGAGCCGACGTGCTTGTGAGTCACTTTTCGTCAACCGACCAATCACAGGCTGGATGGGGCGGGACATTAAAAAAAAAGTTTGACGTGCTACAGCAAATAATTAAATGTTGAACAATATTGACAAGTTAGGACTTAGCATTAACAAATTAGAGACCGATGTAGAGCCTTTTGCTTGCAGAAGGATTTAATGTATAAAAACAACCCACAGAAATGAAACAGCTGTAACTGGATTTAATATTCGACTACTGGTAAAAATATAATGAATGTAGTATATTATTGTTATACTAACAGTATACTATTAGCTAAACATTATACTCTTTATTAATACACTCATGTACAGTTCCTCCTCCAGGTTGTGGATAGAGACGCTGCATTTGACAGATGTACGTTAAGGCGGTGCCAGTGCGTGCTACTTCTACCCGCTTCCTCTGTAGAGCAACACGCTACCCTTGTTCTGTTTTACATCTGTTTTACTAGTTAATGTTATAAACTTTGTTCAAGTTGAGGAATACGCATTTCAAAATGTCAGTATTTCGCACATTCCTCGATAATTAAGCAAGTAGACTCCATTACCATTTGTTCTATTATAATCAAATCAATTTTTTCCCCCAATCTTTAATCTTAATGGTTATTCAGTCATTGTTATTTAGTGTTAGAGAAATCCTTACAATTTGAAACAGGTTTTCAGGGGCTTTAATGTGGCTATTATCTATACTGTCATTTGATCAGTGTACCAAACATGAAAACAATGTGAAATTTGTTATTCGTAGAGAATTACCACCTGAATCTGCAGCTCCCCTTGGTGTTACACCACTTTATAGCAAGTTTTAGCTCAACGCTGTCACAGCATCATTTTATGGCCCCATCAAACACCTGTTTTCAGTGAAAAAGCTGGAGCATAGTGGAACATTTAACAGCTAAAGAGCCAAATATTTCCTTTTAGGAATTGATGGGGGCCAAAAACAGGGCTAATGTTGGACTTACATTTGCCAGGTAGCTAGAAACACAACTTCAAATTAATGATAATGTTGCTCCGTTACTGATGGATGTGTAAACAAACAACTGTTAAGTAACATGTCCGCACAAACAACGTAATAAGGTGTTATCAGTGTCAATGTTGTATTCACCAACTTGTTCCCAATATCCCAAGTGGCCATAAAAAAGGTTTTTAAATTGGTTATTTTATGATTCCCATGATTCAGTGATACACACTTCATAGACAAAACGAGGCAACATAATTCTGGTTTTAATGCAAAGCACTTAACCTTTACTTGAAAGAAGGTAATATACATCCTGGAATTACAGATAATAAAGATACATTATGAGCAAAATCATTTCACAATGAATATCATCTTTCCTTTGCATCAACCAAGAGAGGAGTGCGACATTATCTACAGTTTTTGTTAGGAAGAAAACAGTGAAAAGCACACCTAATTCTGTCAGCATCTTTACTGTATGGTACACTGTAAAAAAAAAAGTCATCTATATGCAGTAGTCCACATTATTGACCTCAAACAAAAAAAGAAAAGAAAAAAGAAAAGAAAAATTGAATAAACACTAATTTCATGGTTGTCTTTCAACTAAGTAGTTCAACTGCAATGCATACATTATAAATAAATGTAAGGGGAAGAAAAAAAGTTCAAAGAGTTCTACAAGCAATATTCCACAATTCCAGCATGGCTGAAACGACAAGTGGCCTTAAATCCAAACCCTTTACTTCGGATTGTGACCACAGCTTTTACACAACTTTAAGATACTGCAGATTCCTCAAGGAGGTGCGTCTGAAAAACCCAACTCATGGTTAACACTTCTGGATAAATCAAGTTAAAATTGTCCTTAAAATTTGTTCTGTGAAAAGGATAAGTTGCCTACCATCTTTTCCTGCGAGGTGAGAAACACTTTTTGTAAGGAGTGAGAAAAACAAGGCTATATAAGTTAAGAAAGATGTTTGTTTTTTTTGCAACTCCAAGTCATTAAGTACTGAAAAAAAGCTTGTTCTTAGCTAAGCTAGGGGAGATCACTGGTATTAATCACAGAACTCGTCAACTCTAAAAGCAAATCATTTGTGTTCCTCTTCTCCTTTCCTCCTAGGCCTCCTCCCTATTTCTAACGATTGCCCCACTTGTTTCTCATATTGGGGTAAGCTCCAGGTGTACACAAGAACAAATCTCTTTTCAATAAAAGGAAAAGACAAGTTGACAACTCAAAAATTATTGTTGTGATGATGCAGTTTGGTAATTGTTTAAATCTACAGCCAGTTGAAATTGGGAGGGGGGGTTCAAACGGAGTACATGTTCTTGGTGGTGGATCCGCTCTTGCTGGATGTGTCGTCATGTGACTGGTAGCCGATCATGGCTTTGATTGGGAGGTTCAGACGCTCTTTATAATTTTGCCTGTGGAAAGACAAGAAGTTGAATGCTGTGTGAAGACTAATGCTAACTTCGTGTCATTATCTAGTGGTCAGCTACAGTTAGCAAAGCTCTTCATCTTTCCATAACTTGCATTATTTCCTACTGACACGGTGACTTTATACAACTTACCCTATCGTCATGATGGCGTCCCTGTTTTGGCAGTTGCTCGTCCAGATGGCTATTTTGTCACCTTTAGGTCTGACGTTAACCACAGCTCCACAAACATCTTCACTTGCCTCGTCAAACGACTCACCGACTAAACACAAGAGCTGCAAAATACACAAAATGTGACGCACAATATGAATCATATTGTTCTTTTTTGATAATGAAATGACAACCAGGGTCTGAAATTAACCTTTTTCACTGTCACTCAGAAATTGTATCTGCCACTTTTGAAATGTTGTCATTCAATGTTCAATATATTTACATATATGTAAATACGAAGTTGTTCTTAAGTGTCCTTCCTGGTTAAATAAAGGTTAAATTCCTGTAGATTTTTAAATAACACGTTTTCATGCACAAAGCAACGATGTCTTTCAGTACAAAACAATCACTAACAACTAGGTATTTCAAAGGTAAAGACAAACGACAAGAAGCACAAAGCAAGCCTAACCCTAACTTAAAGTTCACCACAGTGTATTATTATTATTATAAGTCAGTGTGCAATACCAAACCACAGTTCCACCAAACCTACTCTTCTGAATTACAGCAAGCAAACACAAAAACTCTGAGTTTCAATACAAAAGGTTGGCCAATAAAAATAAAAAAACAAGTCACACCTATTGCGTCTAATAGACAAGGATTAGTGATTCTGTCAATCAATGATACCTCCCATAGTCTGGCCGGCACTGCTGGCAAGCTAACCAGCTGTCACTCACGACTGACTGTTCCTCTTCCGTGGCCGAGTTTGGTTTAAAGCACTGTAATAGATATTCCCTGGGCTGACTGGTAGTGTGACTCAGGCGCATGTGCCGAAGTGGCGGATGGCCTGATGGTTTCACCCGGCAACAATTTACTCCCATTTGGCGGGTGCTAATTTCAGACCCTGATCACAGCCACATAGAAGTTATAAGTTCATCTATGACAGCTGCTCCGTGAAAAAAAGTTGCCTCACCGTCTCCATCCAGTAGCGGTCTAGGTCATTGTGTCTCTGTTGTTTATTGAGGGTCATCAACCATCGGCCGCCCAGCTTGTTCCTGTCGTCCTCCCACATTGGCTTGATCCCATCCTGGAGCACAAAGTGAAAAAGCAATTAAATACTTCATTACAAAAACAAGTTAAGTGACAACTGTTTCTTAACACTGTAGCACTAATATGAATTTGATGTTTAACTTAAATACCGTAAAACTTTGATTAATAGCTCAGCTTTTATTTGCTAAAATCACAGAATTGACCCTGCCTATATTTGGGACAGGCGTCCATATGGGAATTCCTCTTGCACAAAACTACAATAGGCTTCTGTGAAACAGTTTATTTCAAAACAGAATATTACTTGTATAAAAATTATCCAATAATAACAAATACATGTCATTCATTTGATCTAGCGCCGACAGACGGCTTATGCGCTTTTATTTTGTAGGCAGCAATGTAACGAAAACAACAACAGGGTGCGGGATGAGAAAAGTGTGGCAGAAGTTAGCAGACAGAGAGCGATGGACTTCACATGACAGGATTCATAACTTGGATTAATTTTTATGAAAAGCTGTTTTGATTCTTTTAATCGGTGGACCTTACCAAGTATAGGGATTTAATAATCAAGGAACGGACACATTCGGACTTAACCAGCACTTCAGAGTTATGCGAGTCCGCAGGTTTCTTTTCCTTTTCATCTCTTGTACCATGCCAGTTACACCGGTAAACCTATAAGAATTAGACTTTGGGGCTTGTTGTTTCCGTTAAATGAACAATTTAATTGTGGAGAATCTAACTGATCTAACGAGGTGTGGTAGCATGTTCATATTGATCATATGTTTAAACATTAATATTTGTATTAACAATCTAAGCAGCTTAGAAGCAGCTAAAGCGAGCAACCCGGTGGGGTTTAAGAGGTTTTATACATCTGAAGAACTTTATAAAAGCAGACCAGGCGTTTAATGGAGACCTGCGTTTATTTGTCAAAATGTGTTCTCACACCAGGCCAGTAAACGGGGTAGGTGGCTATTTGGGACTCGGCAGGTTGTTTTTAGATTTTGTCCACCTGCCTTTGCTCCGATATATCGAATTTTACATCCTGCAAACATCCCAAAGGTTGATGAGGAAAACAACTATATTTAAAAAAAAAAAAAAAAAAAAGGGTCTTACCTTAAATAAACAGTAATCACAGCCAAAGCCAAGTTTGCTTGGTTGCTGTATGTGGTTGTATAATCTGTAAGAAACACAGGAACAGTGTCAGAAGTATTTCACAAATGCTGACTTCAGTAAGAGTACGGGCTTCATCTGCCATTGTTCCTTCACTTCAGTCTGTAAATGTGGCACTTTACATGTCATATGTGAAGTTGCTTTTCTATAAAAATAGGGTATGACAATATTTCAGAAACTTTTACATTTTATATCTTAACTGGTATTTATTTTAACTCACGTGGCATCTGTGCTTTCAGAGCTAAGAATTCTTAAATAACATATACTGCAAATGCACATACCAAGAGTGAGGTACACACAACAATACAAACAAACAAAAACAAACAAACAACCACACACAAGTTGAACCTCAGGTTACATTAATGTAGCTTTACATCGCTATTTCAGCCATCTGTGCCTCCGTCAGCATTAGAAATAATTTAATGACAGAATAATTTATCTACATCTGCATAAGTAGTGCTTTGCTGCCACATGTATCACCGAGTCAAAGACAAAACAGTAATTTTTAAATGCTATTCTTCTGAAACGCTCCACTTATACCCCTATATAGTGACAAAACCATTACATTACAGGATTAGCTGAGAACACTTACGCCCAAAAGTCTTCCACTGTGTCAAACTTCGAAATAAGACGCAAGTTCTCCGTCCAGCTTTTGCTCTTGTCGTTTTTGAAATACCACAGGGCCCATCTGAGAGGACAAAACAAGAATCAAAACACTCAGTACACACAGGACAGTGGAAAAATGACTTCAGTATAATGACAATGAATTAAAATAATTTATTTTTGGACAGCAAAACAACTCTGGAATATTTCTCAGTTTCAGTAGAATGAGTAGAAATGTCTAAAGAGGCGTTTACTGTGCTATTACTGTACTGTATTTTAAGTGCTATTGTATGAAAAACAAAATAACCTTAAGCCAGAGTCCTAACACCACAAACATAAACCCTATTTCACAACAAAACACAACAGCTAGTTGCAAAAGCATCTAAATCAATGCAAAATAACAGAGAAAGCCAGCCATCATCAACGCTACAAATGCAGCCTTTGTTTATGACGGGTGTTAGCAGGAGAGGGAGGAGGGCAATGAGAGGACATCAGCCGAACCCTGTGCCCCCCTCCCCACCATCAAACACAAATGCTAACAAACTGAACAGTCCAATCAGAGGATGAAACTGCACTCGTGCCATGTAGAAACTCCACTGACACCAACAGTAAAGGCTTACATTATGCCTGAGCTTTAGTTAGTTGGAAACTAATAGTTCAGAAACTTAAGCATACATACCTTTTTTAAAGCAAAAGGTTTGTTTTAGCATTTCCGAAGGAGTATTTAAAAATGTAATATGGCACTTAAATGCCCTAAATGGGTTTCGTTTTGACAGATAATACTGTATGCAATTTAAGCAATAAAAATTAAGATTTTTCTAAAAAGGAAACCAATTAGTTGCTCTTTTAAGAGACCAGTCTTATTTATCTTTTGCATTTTTACAACTGATCTTTAATAAAGCAAAAGTATTTCTTATCCGATTAATCGATGAAATAAATTGATAGAATATTCGATAACTAAAATAACTGAAAGCTGCAGCCCTAATTTTATATCAAGGTAACGGTATATATCACGACACAGTAATTGTTTTGTTAATTCAACAAAGACTTTTTTCTTCTTTCATTAGGATCGTCCATACAAACAAAAACTCCTCCTCCTGTGCTGTATTAATAATATAGCTTTTTCCTCCAATTCTGAGGCAGTTGGCAAACCAGCTTAGAGGTGCATTACCGCGACCAAACTGTCGCTCTCAAGTCATGTGAGGAAGACAAGTAATGAGGCTTGCAGAAAGCCCTGAGGGCAAACTTCACCAATGTACCTATATATCGGTGTATAGGTCAGCCGAAAAGTAACAAGAAATACAGAAATTTCCACCAAGGTTAGAGGTTATTTAGAAACAGTGTCACCTCACCATTACATAGTTTGTCCAGCAGAAAGCACTGACAAGTTGATTTTTCAGCTGTAAAATGTCTTGCTCACAAAGTAAATAAATATAAGAGATCAAAGATCCATAGCAACATTGTTTATGTGTTCCTGTAATAATAAATAATATCAGCTGATACATTGTTACGGGATTTAATAATGCAGTGTAATACTGATAATATAGATGTTTTTCATTTCTTAACTGGACTGTACACTGTATATTAATGCATTTCCCACAGCATAGTACAGGTTTTCAGAAACTGGATGTGTTTTTCCGACCTTCCGGGAGCTGCTGGTTTCCCTTTATTTCAGTACCATGTGAAAATCACATTACATGACTTGAAAGTTATTATCATGGCTATTTATGTTTCAGCTTGCAGGTTAATAGAGACGTACAGCCAGTTCAAACCCATGTGTAGATTTACCTTCACAGAACACAGAGTGATAACCAAACAAAAATAAAAGCACATCTGATATTAATACAGCTCCATACATGTGTATTAGTTTCAAGTCTCTGCAAGTTGACTATCAAATATTAATATGAATGGTCGGTCACTTTGTTTGTCCAGACAGCAGACTAAACCTGCATTTTTGCTGGTTTAAGTTCACTCTTAATAAGGCAAAATTTTATTCTTGCTTTGGATGCAATAGATTTTTTATAATCTTTAGTTCAAATCATCACCAGATTTACCCAACTAACTTCTGCAGCAGAGTAGGTTTGAGACAGCAACACAAGTTTCTACATACACTCAGTTGTCAGTTAATTAGGTAAACTAGCTAAAAAACATGCAGTCTAGTACAACTGTCCTGTAATACATCCTCCTGTCATAAAGGTTATATTGTTCAGTTTCTATTAATACGGTTTTAGAGAAGTGTTGACAACTTCATGGTAAATTTGGAGGGTGTAATATGTGGTGCTGTTAAACTGTATCACATCATGCAGAGAGGTGTTTCTGCTATTTAGTCTACCCTCATGCATACAAATGGGGAAGACTCATTAATTTAAAAAACTGTCTGTTTAGACTGCATTAGTTTTAGCTAGGTTTACCTAATAAACCGGAAACTGTGTGTAAATTTGTAAAAGATATTTCACAACTCAGTCTTACAAACCCAATTTAATTCAACAAGCCAGGACTTCCTTACAGAGTCGGCCATCATTCAGTGCGTTACAGTGGAAGCATCTTAATACAGTAACCCAAACACAGTTTGTTTTAACTAAATCTGAGTGCCTAAAACCAAAATGGCAGGATAACGTGACCCAGGCTAGAGCAGCAGACGTGGACAACCTTGACCTCTGAGGCTGGGCTGAACAGGCAGAATGGCCTAGAAGTGACCTACTAAGTGAACTATTCAGCATTTCCTAAAACGACTGTACAATGCTCCTGAATAGGTCGTCACCACCACAGAACTATGATAACATTTCTAAAAGGACAATAGTGAACAACAATTGCAACACTAACATGCAGAGTAGGAAGCTGAATTCTTCATTCTGTGCTTCTGGTTTGAAACTGAAAACAGCCTCCACTTAACATGATACAATTTACAGTAAATTATTTTTACAATGGTACTTCTTTCTTCAACAAAACGCAAATATTCAACACATGATGATGAAGATGGTGCTTCAAATCACTGTGCTAAAAATTTAATTGTTTAAAATTTCATTAATATAGATCACAGGTTTACGGGGAGTTTCTCAGTAGACACACATCCTCAGAGTCACTAGAGAGCAATATGACTGTTCTCTACTCAGGGTGTATCAGGGCTGCAATAAATAAGACTACTGACCTAAAGGGGACAGAACTTTACACTTTTAAACAGACCTGCAACAATTAGATGTTTAATCTATTAGTTGTTAAGTATTAATTTAATTGCCAACTATTTTTATAATTGATTAATCGTTTTGACTTATTTTTAAAGGGAAAAAAAGTCCACATTCTCTGATTTTTAGCTTCTCCAATGTGAATATTTTCTGTTTTCTTTTGTCTTCTATAATTGAAAATGGAATATCTTTGGGTTCTGGACAAAACAAGACATTTGAGAGCGCCACTATGGGCTTTAGGAAACAGTTATTTGAAACAATCTTCTGACAACCTATGGACCAAACAACTAACAGATTTATCAAGAAAATGATTGATAGATTAATCAGTAATGAAGATATTTGTTGCAGCCCTATTTGTGTGTGTTTTTATCTCCTCAAACAATTCAGTTTTACTGGCTTTGACTTGCTGCAGAGTACAAACTGTCCAGACTAAAATCCCCTCTTCCATGTCGCGTTACATCATTTGTTTTCTTCTAGTAACTAGCCTCAGTCCTGCAGTTACTTCTGTCATGCTGCAACATTATTGTCTCTCCGGAGCCAAATTTAGCAAAAACACATTTTTAGGCCTTTTTAACAGCAGTAGTGCCTAAGTTATCAAGGAGATGAAGTTTTGATCATCAGAAAATGCTGTTTACATGCCCAGTTGAGTATTGCAGTTGGTGATATCTAAATCTCCACTAATGTCAAAATACTGCGGCTTATGTAACACACAAGCTCCTTTTGGTTGCAGTACCCTGTCAAATACAGCAGCTGTTTCATTCTCACCTGTTTTGTAAGGGGTGCTTGATATACTGCTCAGGATTCGCAACGACTTGGCTGTCAGTTTGTTGTTCTTCAGTTTCAGGTGCTTTCTGAGGAGAGTGACATACACAATACATCATCATATACTTTCTTTGAATACAAAAGACGATCATTCAAAACATGGCTATGTCTATTGATCGCCACCATGAAAGAAGTTTGCACAGGCTTTATGCAAAGCTATGAGGTGGGAGATGAATTAATATTTAAATGTTAATGTGTTTAAATGTGGCATTGTAGCTATGTCACACTGCAGCTTAAATTAGGTCTTCTCCTGGCCTTAAAGTCACCATTACCAGAAAGTATACCTTCATAACATGTCAAGCTGAATAATATAATCGCAACAAAGTTAAGAATTTCAGGTACCACAGCTATCACACCATTAAATATGGTATGAAAAGTCCAACCATTCATATAACGTTACACTGTCGCAGTCTCGAAATGTAAAGTGTTATTTTAAAGTGGGCAATTAAATATTTGACAGCAGTGTCCAACTCTACAACGTCAGTGTTTTAACATTAGTACGTAACAGCTCACAATAAAGCGGCTAGCTTTGGATTGGCAGGCTAACGTTACAGTTAACGTCGCTAGCATTCGTTTTAGCTAACGTGCTAGGCTAACTCCAAGCTAGATACACACGTGTCCAGATTGTCATAAATTTAATCAATAATTACGCAATGTGAGCATTTAAAACATAGTGTTGGTTAAATAAAAAGCACCATAGCATACTGACTCTTATGTCGAAGTGGATTAAAATAAATCACTGATTGTAGTTTGAATGAACGACGTCCAGTCAGTCAGTCCCTCCCTGCCAACAAAGTCAGACACAGCCTTATCCATCACATTGCTGTGCTAAAGCTAATTGAGATCCACGAGAACTGACACATATGTGTACTGAAACACAATCATTTCCCACAAATAGTAGATGCCGTTTCATGGAAGCAAGATTATAAAATAAAGTCGCCAGGTATCGTGAAGATGTAACCACAATTTCCATGCGCATTAGTCGAGTTTTCAGCTACCTCTTGTCCCTCTCTTACCGGCTCCGATGTCGCCATCTTGACAGTAGAAATGTTCTGCCCGTTCAGCGCTTCTGCGTCACAGTCCGACCACTCACACACCTACGGAAGCCGCCGAAGTCCACTCGAGGTGGATTGACGGGGAAACCGAGGAAGGTGGCCAGGAGAAAGGACAGTCATCAAGAGGTCCAAAGTACTACAGTAGTTCTTTGTCTTTCCAAGGAGAGTGCTTCAGATAAACCAGAAGCCAGAAGTAGACAGTGGTGGACAGTAATTAAGTACATTTACTCAAGTACTGTACTTAAGTACAAATTTGAGGTACTTTTACTTTACTTGAGTATTTTCTTTTAATGTCACTTTATTCTTCTACTCCACTAGCACTAAATTTCAGAGAGAGATATTTTACCCTTTACTTCCCTACATTTATCTGACATCTTTAGTTACTTTACAAATTAAGATTTTTACATATGAAACATATGGACACTGAATGCCACACAGCTGGTCAAGAAGGCTCAACAGCAGCTGTACTTCTTGAGGAGACTGAGGAAGTACGGTATGTCACCTAACATCCTCAGCAACTTCTACAGGTGCACTGTTGAGAGCATTCTGACCGGCTGCATCACTGTGAGGTGTGGCAGCACTACTGCTATGGACCTCCAACACCTGCAGAGAGTGGTGAAGACAGCTGAAAAGATCACCAGGACTCCACTATCCTCTCTGCATAGCATTTACCATCACAGAGTCCACAGCAGAGCTGCCTCCATTATCAAGGACTTCTAACGTTACCCTCGGGCCGGAGGTATAGGTGTGTAAAATGTAGGACTACAAGACTGAAGAACTCTTTCTTCCCCACTGACATCAGAGTCTTAAACAGTTAATAGGCGTGTGGATTCCATTATCATGCCCATCTCTAAACTGTACCATGACCATGTTAATTGCACTGTTACTGCACATCTGCACACTGCTACATGTACAATTTCCACATGTATATAATTCATCAGTTGCACAACTGTTTATAATTCGTCTGCCTGCACAACGATGAAGTGTATATATTTGTTATTTATCTTATTTTATATCTCTATTTATCATATTTTTATTGTATTTTTATTTATACATATATTTTATTTTCCTTTTATTCTTATTGTAGGCAATTAATGTGGACAGCAAAGTAAGAATTTGAGTGTACAGGGAAACTTGAACATCTGACAATAAACATTTTGAATCCTTGAACAAATAAAGAATTACTAAAATATGTTTTGTTATAAATTAAGCTTCCCAACATTTTATACAAGTAGCCTACAGCTGACATGGTTATTAGATGTACAATGGCGTTTAATAATTTTAAACTTTGTACTGTTGGTTAGACAAAGCAAGCATTGTGAAGGTGTCACTTTAGGCTCTGGGTAACTGTGACGGTATTTCTTACTATTTTTCAGAATTTCAAAAATTGAATAATGGGAAAAATAATCAGCAGATTAATCCATAATGAAAATAATCATTAATTGCACTCCAACGCAAAATAATTAAAAATGATCTCCCCCTCAACAATTACAATAGTAAAATCCTGCTTTTACATTAATGCAGTAATAATAATAATAATTTAATATATAATAGCATACCTATCACAGGACATTTTTCTACAATGAGTACTTTTACTTTTAATGCTTTAAGTACATATATAACTGAGTAACTTGAATCATTATTGGAAGGGCACCCTGTTTATAATGAATGCCTCTGTTTAATAAATAGGAAAGTCTGCCTACTGTATTTATATTTGTGTTTGTCATGCCAGCAACCCCTGACAAACATTATCATACTAATAGTACTCTTTTGATACTTAAGTATTTTTAAAGCAGGTACTTTTGTACTTCAGTTCAGTGTGTGTGTATGTGTGTGTGTGTGTGTGTGTGTAAATTTGTCTACTAGAACAAACTTACTCAAAAGTACTTAAGTACTTTACAATCTCCACACATCATCAACCTTTCAATGAATTTACCATAAAGAGCAAGGTTACATAAATCTAATTCTTCACAGATTGCATTCATGGTGTAATCACTTCAACGACATCACTCCAATTTGAATAATCTAATTTCAGTATTGAAGGTCTACACTTCTTAGAACTGTGTGTGAAGACAACCACTGTGTCACTCCTTTGTTCATGGAGTCATAGTTCCTTATAGTTTACTTTATTATGATCTGCAAATAAATACACTTGTGAATCATTTTGTTCCGTTGCTGGCGTTTGCTCTATTGTGGGAATGTGTCTGTTGTAATAAAATTAATTCACTCAAGTACTGTACGTACAGTTTTCAGACACTTGTACTTTACATGAGTATTTCCAATTTCTGCTCCCTAATAATTCTACTGCACACTACTACTACTACTACTACTACAATACAGAGGCAAATATTGTACTTTGTACTCCACTATATTTATTTGGTAAGTCTAGTCACCAGTTAGTTCATTCAGATTATTAATACAAAATGAGATAAGACTTCATATAGAGGGGGGTAGAGGGAGGGGGGGTTTACAAGCTACCCAGCAGTTCATAAACTAATTAACATTTGCTGCAATATTAACATGATATACACCCCTGTTTCATACAGTCTATGATTAATACATCAAATATTATTTAAAAAAAAGTGAAGCATACAGATGTTAAATGAAAAAAATGTGGTATCGGCAGATAGTTGAAGTATCAGAATCGGCACTGGTAAAGAAAAAGCTGGATCAATGAATCCCAACTTAACCTAACCAACTACAATGATGTGGATAGTTTTGTTACCAGAACAGAAAGAATTGTGAAACTGCTTCTTAAAAGAAAACATTACTTGATTCATTATGATACAGGGAATGAAGCTTGGAGTTAAGTTATATAAAATATAGACAAAATACACTTTTCTTGCACTTGAGTTATTTATCTTTTTTGAATTGTAAGATTGTTAACAGCCAGTCCTGTAAAGATAATTTTAGATTCAGCATTCAGCTATAGACAATCCTCAGCATGTTGATTCATTATCTCTTATTTATTTTTCAATATGTTGTGCAGTAATGGTAATAATTATGACACAGATTTTCTTTTGTAACGAACTTTAACTTTAATTAGATTTAACTAAAGTCCTGAAATACTTGTGTTAGTTGAAGTTATTAAGTTAGTCATCTCAGTTAGTCACAAGCAAATGATTTTCTTACATCCTCAATGTCACTTGATTTGGGAAAAACACAATATTTTCAGTTGTGGAGACAAATCGTACAAAAACAAGCAGTGATTCATCCCAGACATTTTGAGGACAAAGTCTAAATTACTAAACTGAAAGTCCATTGCAGTGAGTCATACAGTTTGCTCGTGTGGGAAATTCAGAATAGAAAAAAGGAAAAGGCCTTTTGGCTTTTTTGAATAATGATTAACTCTTTAAAGCCCTTTGGGCTTGTTAAAAACAGCCTACTTCATATTTAAATAAATAATATGTAGCAAGCTGTCAAAGAATAAATGCTTTTAAATCCCTCACATATACAGTGGCTGGAATAAAAAGGCATCTGTCAAAGGTTGTGTAAAAATACACACACACAAACACATGCACGCGCACACACACACACACACACACACACACACACACTGTATAATATAAACACCCACTCATGCATACACAACAAATCAGGACAAAAGAAATCATGATCAGGTTCAAAATATAAATATGACTTTATTTCACAATCCCAAAAGAGATCAGCCATCCGTAAAAGGAATGCTAAATTTAGTCTCTTCTCAAGTCTAAACTGGATATACTTTCAGCAACGTACAGTAATTCAGTTTCAAAATAAGCAAGATCATCCATTGTCTAAACACCATTAACAGTACAGTAAAAACAATATAGTTCACATACATATTTACACATTTTCTACTAATAAAAGGTTTTTTTTCTTTCAGATTTTTAAATGCTGGTGCTAGTTGTTAGTTCCTCGTCAATTAAAAAGACTTTCAATGTGAACTGAGAATGTCCCCCACAGTAAATTTAAAAGAAACATTTACCGCTGTAACGTTCTCGTGTTCAAAAATGTTCTATCTAAATGAAATGATTTAAACTGTTTACATTCACTTCATGTTGTGTGTATGTTGTGATTTATGAGAATTGTCGGAGAGTTTGGTTCTCTATGGAAGACATCTGAACTCTAGATGGACATAATAATAATACAATAATTTGCTTTTAACTGGTACATGAAAACATCATGATCAATGGCGGGATATCAACACATCTCAAGTCTGTTGTCAGCCAGTAATCATGCAGAGAAATGATAAAACTACCTTTGTATTGAATCACATACCAGATCAGTGTGTGCTGAGTTTCAAAAAGCACCGTGCCATCACCGTTTAGTATACAACCAGGTTAGGTCATTGTATGCACCTTGAAATCTTGTCCTATTAGCACCAAGAGGAAGTCAAAGTGTGTAAAAGACCAACATTTTTCTCACAGGAAATGTTATACCACCAGTGTTAGTGTGAATACCAGTGAAAGGTCTTTACCGCTTGTGCTGAAATTTCACTGATGAATTCTTAAAAGAAAGAGCTTCTCTTTTATGGGTAATAAAAAATAAACATCCTGATTCACCAGGAGTTGACACCAACCCCCTTATTCAGACCCTGTAAAAAAACGCTCTGTAAACAAAGTCTTCACAAGGTTTGAGCACCCGAAATCGTCTTAGGCAATTGTCTGAGTGGGATCTGATTTGTGAGTGGTTTTACAATAAAAGCAGAGAGGAGGCAAAAGAAGGAATTGTTTGATTATTGACATACAAAACTGGCAATATTCTGTTGACATAGCTGACATGTTGTGATTTCTCATTAGCACCATTAAAATGTACAGTAAGTTTTTGAATTCCTATTATCACATTTGTGCCCTATGAAAGAATTCCTTTTCCAGAAAGTTAAGTGCCAAGAATGATAAGCACTTCATTGTTGCAGTATTTCAAGATTCCTCATTATACTAAGTTTTGAATTTCATTAGATATGTATGTCGTTTTCAATCAAATGACTATCAAATAAATGCAAAAATACTGTAAAATAAAACTGGATCCATGCTAAACTGTCATATATATCTCTATTTATCTGTACATACATATTTAGGCCTATGAATTGG